ATTCATCCAATAATTCTAGATTCTCGACTGAAAACATCACGAACTGTTTTTTCACGCAGATTTTGATGTTATTTTGGCTAGTAGAATGGTGGACATAAAAATCTCTGATACATCATCAGGGGAGTAATATATTCAAGTAATTCAACCGCGTTTCTGCAAAGATGAACGCGTTAATTGGATTCTTTCACAGAAGATTCATTAATGTGTAGATTCCTTATAAAGAATTTAACTTTTTATACACACTATGTAACGTGACAAGTATTTCATTTAAAAAATATCGCGTGATGTATATCTTGAATAAAAATTTTTGAAAGTAGCATCGACGTCTCAGTCCATTGAGGACCAACGTGACGTTGGGTTGGACCAATGCGACGTTTCATTTGCAATTTATATTTTTGAAAATTCAAAAAATTCCCTTAATATTTTTTTATGCGTTTCACGTAGATTCTAGAATTTCGTAATATATGAAGGAATTCAAGCACATATTTATAATATTATGAATTTATTCTTCTTTGTTTCATCATAATCAGATGACAAAAAAATCCAATAATTTTATTTTATGCGCTATGGAAGCTTCGGGGACAATTATGTTAATAGTTCTGACTTTCCGCTTATGCCAAGTATGAGGTAACGGAATACATTTTAAGCATGAATTGCGTCGCTGTTACATGCGCCTTCAAAATATTACAGTCGTTCAAGTCGTTTCGTTATTTTATATATATATATATATATATAGTAAACGTCAGAATAATATTAACACTAGTATTGATATATTATTTTATACGAATAATATCATCATTGACATTAATATGCTATTTTATAATAGAAGCGAGAGATTAAAAAATTGATTACGAGCGCGGTGAACCGAAGTGCGGAAAAACAATCGTAACTATTGCATATTTGAACATAAAGGAAAGGAGTGAATTTGCAAATTCATTTCTATTATGTACATGAAAGATCGGAGATGGAAATTCTGTAGAAACGTAGTTTCTGAGCAAACGTAGTTTAGTTCACCTAAAATCTTATTAATACTTTTATCACGAAAAATCTATATCGTATTCAAATAATTATTATTGGAATATATAGATACAAGTCCCACATTTAGATTCGACTATTGCATAATATGTGCTAATACGTAATTTAATTCATTCGTACATAAAATCTCTCCACGATTCGATATCAAATTGAACTTGATGCCCTATTTTCCTCGATTCCTTTCAGTTTTAACACGACATAAATTTAAAACATATTATCTTATAATATAATTTAACAGAAATACGTCAATTTAATTTCACGCGATTGCGTATAATATATATATATAAAAAATACGTTCGAGCTATAAAATCGGCTTTCGAAATTCACATCTACGATACGAGTCGACTGGGGATAAAATATCGCGATAAAATATGCCGAGCACTCGATTCGTTGAAACGTAGCTCGAGTGAAAAATAGGGAAAAGAAAGGAATGTATTCTCGATACGTGGATGACTGAAAGAAAGAACTCCAAACGATGATCTTTTAATACGACGAATTCTGGTATCTCACGTCTTAGTTCTAACGACCTAACGATAAGTGCTTGTGTATATGTACGTAGATTCTCTAGGCGTCGACTTTGCGAGGCTTGAAAGCTCATTTCCGGCTTCGTGAAATTTTAAGGTCTGCCCACCTCCGGTTCCAAGCGGCTTCTACATCATTTATACGGTCAAAAAGCTCTCACCCACGATACTGTACGACGCCTCGTCGTCATATTTCTTTCAAAGCGTGACTTTCATTTCCACTCATTCTTCAGAAGTTTTATCTGAAGTTTAATGCTTTCCGAAATAAGAGGCGACTGTTTTTCCCCGCGTTGAATATTTAAAAACCACTCCGAAAGGGAAGGACAAGGACAGAAAGGAGAACTACCCTCGAAGGTTGAAAGCAAGGTTTTGTCATGCTTGTTTCTTTCTCGCGACTTCTCGTTCGTTTTTCCCGTTCAATCGGTAACCACGATATAACAAGGGATTCTTTTATTTAATCCTTGACTGGTATTATTGAGAGATGATTACAGTAGCTCGAACTATATTTGAATTAGATTATTTAATTTGAAGCAGGCTTAGGTATTGTTTGAATAAAATATTTGAAGAATGATTATTCGAATAATATATTATCTTATTTGATTTGTGAAGCACTTCTACGTCAGTCTATTCGAACGAACGAATATGATATCTTTTCGAAGTTACTCGATTATTTAGCTACCGAATAGAATAATTCTTTATTTCATTCATTGTGTTTGTTCCTGCAAACACAATTTCGCGATTCCGTTGTGTAAACTTCGCTTTATGCTTTCAATAAATTAATTCAAATAGACAAGTCCAAGATAAAATTACTTTTCCCAAGTTGTATTCTAAATAGGAATTAAATTAAACGAATTAGTGGAGAAACGATTCGTTATTTCAAATTGACACTTTCTCATCTTTGCTTCAAATAAGATTCGCCCAATCTTAATTTTACAATTTTCCAATTCTGCTATGATTAGAAGATTTCCAATAGATTGTACTTCAGAGGAAATGTTTTAATAAATTCTAATTTTGATGATGGAGATGGTGTAATATTGTAGATTATGGAAAATCGAAGAGTGTTCTGAATTTAATTAACCTAAACTGTTCTGTTTGTAATCTTGATCTCGAGATTGACGGCTAACTCAGAAGCTTCAAAAACCGGAGAGAAAAGAATTAAGTTTGGTCGCGATATTAGCGTGGCCAGGACGGTTTCTAGCGAAGCTCGGGGGGGAAAATAATTACAACGTCGTCTATGTAACTTTGCAACTCGCTACAACTTCCGTTGGAGTTCCCTGCAACCACCGTTGGTACCTTCATTTGGCTAACGAGCTGCCTAAACGTTTCTCCTACGTACACCTAATGCCAGACTTCCTGTCGATTATTTATAGAATCCATCGACTACCACCCCGTTCAATTTCGTTAAATCTCCATTTTAACGGGCTAATTTCCAACGGGCGTGTTCCACCGCCGCTCGCCAGGAGAGAAAATTAGCGAAAACTCGATCGTGACTCGCGTAAATTGCGACGATCAATCCTCCGATCGATCGAGCGATCCGTTTTCGTTAGATTTTATGTAATCGCGTCGACGATCAGAGATTGCCGCGAAATTGTAAATGCCGAGGGTCGTGACTGAGCGAACCGCGTGTCGATTATTCAACGACGAGCCGATGGAAACGGGTTAGCCGTGTTCGAAGTTTGCTATCGCTCGAGCCTCATTATCCAAGAAAATCTTTCTCGTAAGAGATTCATCTACGAGATGAACTGAAATTGAAATTGAAATTTCGTTCCAGAATTGAGGAGAAATTGGACAATAGTCTGGTACCGTACGATTATGTTCTCGTCCATAAATACATTAGACATTTGCTGATTTTTAACATAATGTTCATTAGTTATTGGATCGTGAGATTGAATTTTATCCATTAAGGACTAATCTTGTGTGTCAAACAAAAGCTTGCAATCTTGTTTTCCATCATTTTACATCGTCGAACTTGATCTTTAACATTTTAGTTACGAAGAGAAATTTCAAGAATTTGTTTAGTATCTTTTTGTACCAGTACTTCTTCTAATCGTAAGTGTGTAAAGTTGAAAGGAATTTAAATATTTTTGACATTATGGTAAACGTTTCACGTTTATTATTTTCCAAGCTACGTCCACGTGTTCCAATTTTTGCAATCTCAATTTTATTCAGCGCCTGTTGTCATGCAAAATCTTCAGTTGATGAAACAGTTTGGATGTTATACTGTTCCACTAAGTATGTTTTAAATGTAAAAAACGTAACTTGTACTGCTTGTAAGAACAAAATGTTAATGTAAGTGGACTTCTAGACTTTCTAGATTTTTAAAATATTCTACGTGTGATTTCGTCGTATTCGTAATAAACAGATCGTAGATTTATACACGTTTAAGAATATAGTAAAGAAAAAAAAAAAAAAAAAAATAGAGCCACGGTAAAAAAAATATTCTTTTACGCGTCAAATATTATAGAAAGCACTTGTACATTGAATATTTTGTTTTGTAACTTCGAGCACGTAATTAAAAAACGATAAATGTGTTGTAATTCGCAGCCTACGAATTAGTGTCAGGTTAATTTCATAATTACTTGATCTCTATATATCGAACCTATATCCATTTTAGCTAATGAATCGCAATCTGGCTGCTAAATTCTGGCATATCTCCTTATCGCTTTCTCAACCTCGTTTGCTGCAACCGCGATGTGCTGCTCGTAGGAAGCGAGGAACGTCTGTCCCTGACCGGCGACGAGGATGCGAGGAAGCACAGGTCTCGCGTATCTTGTGTACCGATGCCGATGTCTCAGGTCATGGATTCAGGGTGCGCAGGGGGATAATACAGGCGTAGCCTCGAGAACGTCTGCGCGTGCTGCATTGCGGCTAGCCCACTCCCTCGTACCGTGCTCTATAGGCGGCAGGCCATGGACCGAATAAAGACAGGGGGTGGCTGAAGCGTGGTTAGAAGCGAGACAGCCATTCAGTCAGGGGGGTTGAAAGGGGTGGGGTGTGACTGTGTAAAAGTGAGACGGTAGCTCTCGGAAAGAGAAAGAGAGAGAGAGAGAGAGAGAGAGAGAGAGAGGCGTTGATGGAAAGAAGAAGGATAGCAATTTGTTAGTGTGGGCGAGACAATGGGAATAGGAGGGATAGTCGACGAAAAGGGAAAAAGAGAGAGGGTTGAACGTGGGAACCGTGGATATGGCGGGAGGAAGACAGGCTGATATACACACACACGTAGAGGAGAAGAGAGGTATGAAAAGGATGGGGGGTAGGTTGTGGTGAAGCAGACGTGGAGAGAAAGAGGGAGAGAAAGAGAACGTAGGGAGGGAGAGAGAGAATGTAGCAACTACCCCCCTGTTTTGCAGTTACGACACTGCACTGCAGCCAGGTACCCCTGCCGTCTCTGTTGGATGGGGGGCGAACTGGCCGAATAAAGCCAGTCGTCGTCTCGTGCTCGGACGAGACACGCGCCCCGGCACAGTTTCCTTCCCGACGAGCCGCAAGGATGTAGTCGAAACGACGTTCTGGGTCCTCTCGGCTGGACCCGGCGGAACCACCAACCGAGGTTTCGCCACCCGAGAACGCAACGATCTGTTTACTTTCGTCTTCTCGCGTTCGCTTTTTACCCGTCTGTCAATTCGATCGGTATCGTTGTTGGCGGAGTTTTATGGTGAGATGTTCGAAATGTAACGAAACTCGTAAAAAAAAAAAAAAAACATCAAGAGAGGAAGAACAACGTAATCGAAATCGACATTAACGGACTAACATCAAAGAAAACCGTATTACTGTCGCGTTATTATTATTGTTATTATTATTACCGTTATATTATTACAATTCTCATTATTATTCTCGTCTCGTTATATATTGCATTTATTGTCCCTTGTACGCGTACGCGTGTGCTCGTAATACATCGCGAGTCTAAGCGAAATCCGACGTTTTTATTCGCGATCTGAAGCTGGACCTGCACCGGCGGAGTCGGTGTTTTGCGGTGGAACAGGTAAGAGACTGACACGAGAGAGATCTAGAATGTTCGCGGGATTGCGTAGTTAGTTAGTTATCGTTCCGTTCTCGTTCGAAATAACAAGAAGCGCGAACAACGAGCGTAATCTTCTTTTCTTCGTTGAGCGAGCTTTATCGTCGCTAATAGGCAACGATCGGGTCCGCGCCGAGGATAATGCGATTACGCGTTCGCGCAACGTGACGCCGCTGCGAGAATCGCAATTATCACTCTATACCGTAATCCGGATTTATCAGCTGACTAGGATCGATGCAACGTCGTCGCGAAATCTTTCGTCGTATCACGAACTATTGTCACGTTTCAATCATGCTTCAGCTCTCGCGATTCGATTCGATATTCGCGTCCAGAATGGCAGAGAACTATTAGCTATTAGCTAATCGGTCGTATCAATTTAGCGAGTTACTATTGTTATCGTGATTACCAGCAGCAGACATTATTCTTTTACTGACTTTCATTGCAGCTGGAGGGAACGGTATCACGTCGATGCTTTATGGTTGCAAGGTGCGATGTTGCAAGGTTTTTTCTTTTTTTTTTCTTTTTCAATTTGAAACGGAGACGCTCGGAAGAGGCAAAGATAGCAGCGAGCAAGGGTTGGTCGTTGTGTACTGTTTTATCGATTTTAATCTCCCTACTGGCGCGATCCCTCTCTCGTTTCTCTCTCTCCATTTCTTTTTTTGTCTCTCCGCAGCGTAGCTTTTAGAAAACCAATTGACCGAACGAAATCCGAATTCATTCCTCAGAGCTGTAAAAATGTCACTTAAAGGTCTTCAACTACGTTAACTCCACGATAATGGCTAGAGAGAGAAAGAGAGACATTTCATCGTTATCTCGTTTCATTCTCATCCGATTTCATTTTTCCACACGTTTCCGTGTTTATTCTGACGATGAGATCTTCTTCTCCTTTTTATTGTCGTGTACACAGAGATGTAGACATGCATATTTGCATCGCGTGCAACTCATTTTGTTACAGGATCGCGTCAAAAGATAAGAGAACAATCGATCCGCGGTGTCGACAATCTGTATCTCCGTTGATTGAGTTTGCAACGTCGTTATGATAATTTAGAAGCTTTTGTGCACGCGCGTCGCGACGCCTTGTTTACGGTGACTGTTGAATGGAGACGGTTTCATTGTAGCCGTTTTATCGATCTTATAACTCGCGTCTGCATCGCTTGTTTCGTGCGATGGTACGGGCGTGCGTTGAGACGAAAGGGTGATTTTGCTTTGAGAAGACGAAACGCCACGATTTCACGAAAATACGATATATTTTACATCATATTACGATATATTTAAAAAATATGCCAGATCCTGCCAAAGAAAACCAACTCCAGCTTCCCATCTTTGTAATTTATGAATGGCACACAGACAATTTTCTTTTTCGGTGCAGATGCTCCATTACGACTACTTTTTTTATCTCTCAGAGTCCTTTACAACGAATATACGTATAACTTGAAAGTTGCATATTCATGCATTTTTTTTGAAAATTTTACTTTGCATACACTTGTTGCTTCCCTGTTGTACATCACTGATACGCAAACCTTAATTATTTACGTTTAACACCATCAAGTGAGAAACAGTTTTTCGATAGTAAAGCAATTTCGGAAGATTATTATTCCGACTACTCCATTGATACAATATTTTCTGCATTTTGTATGTCATTAGTAGACTGAGGATTTTTATAGGAAATTTTAATGTGAAAAAAAATCTATAAAATATCCAAAGAACAGTTATTTTCTATGATATCTGACACGCAAGAGAATTGTCTACCAAGGTTCTATCTGTTTTCATCATATTCTCAAAAATATAAATTCGCATATAAATCTGTAGTGCTACAATTTATTTCAATTTGAACTTTCTAGTTCATTCATTTGAGTTCAAATTCTAGAAGAAATCAGATAATTAGGGATGAAAGATGCCGAAAGAAGCAACGATCACTCAATTTCTCTAGTTTCTATTCTGCGGAGTTGATCGATTTGTCTCAATTTCGAATCGTTCTCGGAACGTCCAAGTATCGATCGGACGAGAAAAGTCGGTCGGCAATTCTTTATCCCGTGTCAATGATATTTTCCAATTTGAGTGGATTCCACAACCCGGTGATACGTATATATCACATTAAACTCATTACAGCCGAATCTCTGTTAGCCTGTCAAGCTCCCATAAAGTCGCAAACTTATCAAGAAGCTTACTGGCGTGTTCTATTTATCGACAAGTACCTACGTGTCCATTCTTCACGAAAATCCTCGCAACTTCTCCATTTCCCTGTCCTCGCGAATTTATTCCCCAGACGCCATCTCTTTTGGATAAAGATTAATGTTCAACATATTGCACGTTGCGTTCCAGTGAGATAAATGGTTGCTCTCTTCGTGGGCTGAGCGTCTTCGCAGACAAAGATGAAGCCACGAGACACAAAATGTTTTTGGTTGTTGTAATATTGAATTAAATGAAAGATTGACTGCCAGGCGAAATTTACACGTATGTATTTCACGTATTCCTCTACGGGATGGTCTATTTAATTTTTATTCTGCTCAAATGGAAGCTTAAATTTCTTTAAATTTCCTTAAATTTTTTTTCCCAAGAAATTGAAAGTCTTTGTGCCAGAGAAATTTTTATTATTAACATGACGTGAATATTAAGTTTTTGTAGCTGCAGCAAGTTAAAAAGACGAATTTAAAAGTTCGAAAAAATTTGCGAATGAAATACATATTGCATTAACGCAACATGAGCCCTTAATGGATTGAACGTTATATTGCAATGGTTGTTGAAAGTAGTTGCTAAAATATCCATCGACCAGATTGTTTCTTTGTCTTTTAATTTGCAACCGATGCCGTGAATTGTAATTAATTGTAAATTGTAATTGCAATGCTCTGTGCAACTCTCGTGCTGCGTATGCAGGCTTCCTGGAAATTTCTAATTAAGAGTAACGAGTAAAAAGCGTAATGAACGTTGGCAAAGGTTGTTCCGAAGAATGGATCACTTTAAAAATGTTTACCCGTATGTCAAAGGCTTTCATGTAACTGGTCGAGTGCTGTACTCGCGCTAACGAGCTACAAATTTGGCGTAATTGCAACGAATAGCAATTAATAGTCCAATCGTATATGCAGAATACTCGTCACCTTTCAGAATTTCGATCGTGGGATGGATTTTATTTCCTACGATACACCGAAGAAAATTTAAACACGAGATAAGATTTATGTTTCATTTTATAACATCGTGTTATATTACCACATTACTTTATTATATTTTACAATTTTTTACGCTACTTTATGATATTACACAATTTGTCACAATCACAATTAATTAGGTCCAAGTATATTTTATGTCATTCAGCAATACTTTTTGTGTGACTAGAAAAATTTCAAATTTGCCGTGCGATATATTTTGTACTGTATACTTCTTTTTATCAAAACATATATAATTTCACATTGTAAAATTATAAATTATCTCGTGCCATTTGTCTTTTAAGCTTTCTACTTCGCTATCACGAGTGTCTGTCTCGCCTTCTTCTGCTTACAAAATGTCTATTATTCTTTGAAAAACACTGACCCACGTTTAAACTACAGATCTTCGTGCAATATCTCATATTTTTGGATGGACAGAATGAAAAAAAAAAAAAAAAAAAACTCTATTTTCGATACTTTATACATTTCCCCATAAATTCACAAAAATCCACAGTTTACTTGCACCGATTAAAAGTTTCTCTTGCCCGTCCACCGGAGAAGCTGGATAAATAATAATATTGGATCACAGTTTGCGCAATCATTCAGCACACACGAGACACAAAATTATTCATCTGCAATTACGAACTTCATCGTTCAAGTTCAATCGAGATGAACGAACGGTGGCTGGTACCACCATAGATCCCTTCATACAGCTGTAAATGATGTATGGTACACCGGCGACCTTCTCGTCGTATTAGTTACGAATATAGCGGTCTATTAGCTCGATGTCAAAGTGGTGGAACGAACGGACGAACGTGCAGAAATGGGTCAGACTAACATTTTCTTTTTATGAAATATTGACGTTGATGGGACACTGTGAAATTCAATTACGCCGCGGAAGCCTTAGTGGACATTTGATATTTCATGTGCACAATGCCTACGGTTGCATCGAAAGGCTCGCTTTAAAGGAGATGAAAGCGCTCTAAGAGAGGTCTTTGCACTTGAAATTCTACCCCACCACCCACGCGGATCCAATAAATAACGCGCCTTTGCGCAGGGATTACGGGCAAAGGATGTTGCACCATATTTTTCAATATTTTCCCGACCATTTTTCTCTCTATATTACACGCCAGCAGCGTGTAAAATTTATCCAGCAAATGCGATTCGACTTTCTGACAGCCGCCGATTCCTTTTCTTTTTTTTTCACTTTCGGCAAAATAAAAGTTGCCCTCAGACGTGGAAAGTTCCGAAAAAGTAATTAAAGTCAGTGTGTTTTCGATTAAAGATCATCTTGCGTGTCGTACAAACGTTGACTGTCGTTGTCAAAGTTTTTTCAATCAACGGAGAGGTTTATAATAATAATAATAATAATAATAATGATTATAGTGTTTGAATTCTTCCATCAACTGAAAATTTTGATAGTAACAGGGCATTTGCGTAACACAAGTTGTTTTTAATGAGATGTGGGAAGGAAAACTAGCCGAATGGAATTTGTTTAAATTCTCGCAGTTTTATAGATTTTTATGCATTTGTAAGAAGTTTTTGGTTTCTGTAACATACGGTATATAAAACAGTTTTTTATTTTATTTTGTTCTATTTTCTTAATTATATTTCCAGAAGTATGAATTTGCAGAAAAATCCGGAGTCTAAATGTAATTTTGATACTGTCCCTTATTTGTTACAATTTAATTTTAAAATATAATTCTACGCAAACAAAGATATGAAATTTTCGCCGTGTTCTTTCCAGTATTTTTTATTACTGAACTATTATTATTATTGCATAAAAGTTTTAATTAAAATCAAACAAGGCTCGAACGTAATTTTCTGTCGATAAATATCCATACGAATATTAAAGTTACCATCAGTGTAAAAAAAACAACAATTGTCACACAATTGGAATTACAATCACGTTTAAAATAATCAGTGGCGTCTCTATTAATCATCTCGCTACATTATTAAATTATTAATTAAACTTCAAACAGACGAGCTTTGTCTCGTGTAGCTCATTTACATACAGGCTCATTAATCAAAAACTCCTTAACCATTAATCTCCAATCTTAAGAAGAATTCTAAACGTTTTCTCAGTGGCACTTTTCGAACGGGGCTATTTCGTCCAAAATTTGTTTTGAATTGTTTGTAATTTTTTTTCGCCTTTTTTTTTAACATCGACGTCGTCTCTTGTAGAAAATGGTTGCGGAAAAATACGATAAGCTCGAGCCTGAGCTGAAAGAAGAATTGAGAAGCATCGCCCAGCAGATTGTGGCACCTGGAAAAGGAATCCTGGCTGCGGATGAGTCGACCACAACTATCGGCAAGCGTCTGAAGGACATCAACGTTGAGAATACCGAGGACAACCGTAGAGCTTACAGACAACTACTCTTCACCGCCGCTAAGGTACAATTGTTGATTTATTACACTAATTACTAGTATTTGAACATGATTAAACAATCTGTTTACTACAATTCTTTGAATCTCTCCGAGTTTCATCCGACTTTCAAAATTAGTTGAGAAATAAAATCAATAGGCGAGATTAGCTGAGTAAAAGCGATAGAAGCTGAGTAAACGTCTTAAAAACAGCGGGACCTTCAAAAGTACCGTTTTCAAGGAATTTGCCGAAAAACTGAAGGAGGAAACAATCAGTCGAACGAGTGAAATCTAATATTGCATCTTTCGTGAATCTGTCCTCAATAAATCATAATCAAGTTATAAGATCAACTTCTGAATGTTATAAAGTCGAAGAATGTTCAGATTAATAGTGCAACGATTCGCTTCTAATAATCCTATTCGTCATATCTTTCTATCTTAAACTCAGAAGACACAAACAATTAAAACCCAATATCACATCTTTCTGAGATATTTGATAAACCATGGAATCAACTAATTTCGAAATATTGTCTAACATTTATACACATTTCGCGGTCGAAAGACATTCAAGTTTAATAATAATAAATCTGATTCTAATTAATAATAAATCCATCCAATGTTCCCCGTCTCTCTAACGATCTTCTCCGTGTTTTCCAAAGGACACGATCAGCCAGCACATCTCTGGTGTCATCCTGTTCCACGAGACTCTCTACCAGAAGGCCGAAGATGGAACACCATTCGTCGAACTGTTGAAGCAACGTGGCATCTTGCCAGGTATCAAGGTCGACAAGGGTGTGGTGCCATTGTTCGGCACCGACGACGAATGCACCACCCAGGGCCTCGACGATCTACAGGCCCGTTGCATCCAATACAAGAAGGACGGATGCCAATTCGCGAAATGGAGATGCGTGTTGAAGATCAAGAAGGACTGTCCGAGCAAGCTGGCCATCTTGGAGAACGCTAACGTTCTAGCCCGTTACGCTTCCATCTGTCAGAGCGCTAGGATCGTGCCGATCGTCGAGCCGGAGATCTTGCCCGACGGTGATCACGACATTGTCCGTTGCGAACAAGTTACGGAAGAAGTTCTGGCCGCTGTGTACAAGGTGAGGGGAGAGGAATGGAGTCTGCATATTGATTTGGTTTGTTTGGCGCGAGGATGTTGGCTCTTTGCTACGTTTGTTCGATGGAGAGAAGTAATAGGATCTTCTGTACAATTGGAGTCTACCGTAACCATTTAATTGGAAACGGAAGGGAATGTCAAAAGACGAGACGGGACGGTTTCAGAATCCTTCGTATCGTGGTATTGGTTTTAAAGTTGTTACAAACTGTAAATGTACTTTCCTCAGATAAAAACTAGCGACGACTAAAGTATAAAGTGTCAATGAAATTGAATTGCACGAGGCAGGGGAAAGTTTTTAAAGAGATACTTTTATCTAAATATTTGACGAAAGTCTATGTAATTTTGTTTTCAAAAATGCTTCTGTCGAAACGATATAATTGTAGAAGGTATATATCGTTTAAATGTAATTTAACTTAACTTAAGCCAAGGTATATGTGTAATGTTCACTGTAACATCAGTAATAGACTCCTATCTACGACGTAGAAATATAGAAAGAGTTTATTAAGTAAAATTTACTGCTGCGTTCTGGTAGTGAGTTTGCCAACGATATCTCAAGTATGAACAAAATATGAAATTCTTATTAGCATGCGTGATTTCTCTGTTAAACATTTTCTTAAGACATCGTCAGTCTTTCCCATTTGTAATTAACTTTTACTGTCATTAATTTCATCGTACAGAAGTTGAAATTTAATCGTATTTGATTCATCAGGCACTTGCTGATCATCACGTATACCTCGAGGGTACTCTTCTGAAACCGAACATGGTAACACCAGGACAAAGCAGCCCGAATAGGGCAAGTCCTCAGGAGATCGCGGCCGCTACCGTGACCGCTTTGCTGCGCACCGTACCACCCGCAGTGCCTGGCATCACCTTCCTCAGCGGTGGACAGTCGGAGGAAGAGGCATCTGTCAACTTGGACGCCATCAACAAGTTCCCCGCGAACAAACCTTGGGCACTGACATTCAGCTACGGTCGTGCTCTTCAAGCCTCTGTCCTCCGCGCATGGGGTGGCAAGAAGGAACAAATTGCTGCCGGCCAGGAAGAACTTATCAAGAGGGCTAAGGTAACTTTCAGGCTAGGTTTCTCTATTTTAGATTCTTCCCTTTTCCTGTATTTTATAATTTTCCTTCTTTATGTTTTACGACTTTTGAGCATCTCTAATAATTCTTGACGTGTGCTGCTCTTTCAGTAGATTAGAGATTTTCTTCTCTCTTTTTTTTTTTTTTTATTGTAATTAATTTTCTTTGATTTGATCTATTTTCTCTTTATGTAGATTTGCATAGAAAATGTAACTAAAACATTTCTGTTTTCTTTCTATGTGTCGTTCATACGTATCTTTACTGTCATGTTTCTTTCCTTTCTGTCTATAGCTCTTTTAACTTTTTCTACTTTCTGTTACATTTAAAAGTTTCTGTTACATTCTTATGTAAATATCATACTGCGTCAATTTTATTTGGATTTAATTACTACTCATCTTTACTTTCTTTTTACTGTTTGTTTTTGCATGTACATATATCGTGTGGTTGTTTAGGCAAATAGTCTAGCCAGCCAAGGCAATTACGCTGCTGGTAGCATTGTTAGCAAAGCTGCAAGTGCCTCTCTCTACGTCAAATCTCATGCCTACTAAATTCTTGCTTTTCTTTCTTTGAGACGGTTTCACAGTGAGTATCTAGTAGATTAGTTCTACATATATTTGCCTTTTTACGCGCTTGTACGATATACATGTATTTACTGATAAAATGTAATTAACCTTTCTAAATGTGTCTAAGATATATTTTTGTATTTACAGGCTAACAGTGAATCGGCACTCGGCAAATACGCTGGTGGCGTGACAGGAGCTGCTGGCGACGCAGCGCTTTTCGTCGCAAACCACGCGTACTAAACGAATTATTAGACATTGATAAGGATTAGACAATTAGGTCGTTCGTCGAACATTGTCAACGTCGATCACTGTTGCCGACATGAGGGCATCATCGACGATGAAGATGGGAAGCGAACGAAGGAAAAAAAACTCACAAAGAATGCCTCAAAATGCTCGAAACACAAAACGATCGTGCAGCTTCTGTTTCCAATTTTACGTTTTACATAATTTAAGAAAAAAAAAAGAAAAAAGTTCAAACCTGCGAACGAATTCGAATTCATTGAGTTTTACTTCGCGATAATTGGTACCACCATATATCCATGCGTGATTTTAAATCAAAATAGAATCTTGACGATGCATTTTAATCTCACGGAATAGACGGAAGCTGAGGAGATTCGTTTTGTTTTTACGATGAAAATCAAACTCTCAGGATCACGATGTTGTCGACCATGATCGATTCTCTTCGCCGATTACCGTATTTCTGAACGAACGATCGCCTCTATCGCCTCTTGCTTTTACTCTTTCCCTGTTCTATCTCCTCTCACTCAGGACCTTCCACTCTTTTTTTTCCCACCCCTGTCCTTCATCTACGTTCCTATGTTCTCTCTAAGATGCACATGTGACACGATGAAGAGTGTTTAACGCATCTTTCATCGCAGAATTGTTCGTTAACCAAGAGAAAGAAGGAACTAGGGATCTACGACAATCGTCGAGAGAACGTGATCGATGCGTACAGAAGCGGGCCTATCGTGTAAAATTGAAGAAGAAATAACGGATAAAGATCGTTTACTCGGATCGTGAATAGATTTCGTGACGTTCGAACTACGCACGCGTTATTATGTTCTGTAAGAATACGAGTAAAACAAAAGCAGATATATTATACATATATATTATCAATGTCGTTATAATATTCTACGTGTATAAAAAAAAAGAACAAAAAGAGAAAAAATAAAAAAAAATAAAAATACATATTAAATGTTGTTTGTTAGCAAATGAGTCGAATATTATGAAGTCGTAATATTATGTCATCTACTTATACAATATGTATATCTTACATAGATATTTAAGTAACGTATTGAAAAGTATCTCGTACATCGATGTTATATCTAATATTTTCATTGTAATCTAGGTCACCAAATACACTGTGGAGGGTATCTATCGTGTCTTTTTATCCTAACTCCTTTCTTAAGATGTGTACTTTTAATTTTGTTACAATTGAAAGTATATACGATACTTTGATACTTTGATATAGCGATGAGGTTGTTTCAATAACACCTTGCAAGGTTACTATAAATATATTTGTTAGCAATATTTTCAGATATAGGCAGTCTGGCAATAGAGATCATCCACTCAATATAAACATAAGTAGCAAATCGTCAGTGGAACATTTAGTGAACTCAGTTCACAAAAATTCACTCTCAATTTAGTGAATTCTTCTAAAACAAAGAATTCTTCAACTGAATAAAATAAATCTTTCAAATAATTCGTTAATTCTTCAAACAAATCGCGAAGAATGCTCCATCATTCCTGAAAAAAAAAAAAACAATTACTTCATTTATAGTTTGTGGTATCTTTCAAATAATTCTTCACACAAATCGCGAAGAATGCTCCATCATTCCTGCAAAAAAAAAAAAGAACAATTACTTCATTTATAGTTTGTGGTAGTGAAAAAATCAAAAGCAATAGAAAATTTCCAGCAGCATATTGAGATGTTATCAATCTATGCACCATATAGTGCAACCACGTAAAATACAGCTTTTTTAGCTGCATCAGGTGATCCACGAACGTGAACCTAAATTCACAAATTCAGTGGAAGAAATTTGGGCATTTTATAATCGCAACACTATTTAACAAAAACGCGAATATTGATCGATGCGACGTTAATTGATAACAATTGAAAAAATTACGATGGAAGAATATCGCAACACTAGTTCTTTAAAAAAAAGTTATTTTTTAATAATTTTTTCTAATAAATAATCACGAGATAATGATATTAATTCGAATTCTAAGAAAATATAACAATTTTAATAATATTCTTTAAAAGATTATAATCATAATGAAAATTATAAAAACAATCACGATGTTTTATAATTCGCAACGCTAGAACAAAAACGCGCTTACCATATTATACAATCATCGCAACTCTAATTCAAACCAGATCCCGTATTTTTTCACAAATTTGGATTCAGATCGTTCTGTAGATAATTTAAAACGCAAAATTTTGTAATTTTAATTTAAACTGATACTAATTTCATTCGCAACACTAACAAAAATACCGCGATTTGCCCAAATGGTGGGCCGACATTCATGTCGGCCAAGAAAAAAGCTACAACTACCATTGCTACACTACAAATACTAAAATTGAGCATAGTGACAAGAATGACTATCCATGCTTTGGATTATCCAGAGGATGGAAAGCCATTTGTTGTGACCCTCTTCATGGCAGTTTGCCGGGCCTCTTCTTTCTTCGAGCGCAATGCCCGCTGAAACTTACAT